TTCTATTATATCCTCCACGACATTTATCTGACAGCTGTAGTTGCAAAATGATACTAACAATAAATACGACAATTTGTTAATCTTCATGTGCTTGAAATAGGAGCAATTTTTAAAATATACTCAATGACGTTTGGCCCCTCTGTGTAAATTGTGGCCCCTTTAAGGCCCCTGATTTAGAAAAATCCGAGATCCACCACTGAGAATTTATTGCTTTTACATTTACTGGTAGTTTCAGTTTTCTGCAGCACTTATTCGCTTCAGATGAAAATAAACACTGAAAAAAAAAATCACCCACTGTCCGATTCACAGCGCTTCCTTTTAAATGTCTTGCTGCTGGCAGCTCCTGTAAGTAGCACAAAAGTGGGCATCGCCTACAACACTTTCCTGGGAGAGAAACACGCCATCCTCTGTGTTTTTAAATAACAGAAAACCTGCAGCAGTGTGTCTTCTCCAGGGAACTGACTTTGGCATCGCTGCTCTGTTTTCAAGGTTCGACAGCTGCCTGTCAACTAATCTGAGAAGTGTGTTGCTATTTTAGTTCGAGCAGGAAACACATCGAGGCTTAATAGAGAATATAGAATAGATATAAAAACACTTGTGTTAAAATGGAGGGATTCGTGACGTATAACTCAAATCATTTCAGATCTTTTTCCACATTTAATGTGACCCATCCTGCATAAATATGAAAAGTGAAAAACAATTACCTGTTTGCATTCATCATGCACATTAAACTAGCTTTGCTAAGCACCTTTTGAATTTATAACTCAATGTTTTGGGGCAGGAATCAGCTCGGCATATCTTGACAATATTTTCTCATTATTCCAGATGCACCAAATAGCAATTGAGGCCGTCTCCAGTGCTCAGCCCTCTTCAGGTGACCCCACAGCTTTTCATTTGGATTCAGGTCTGTGCTCTGACTGCGCCTTTCGAAGAACTTTAATCTTCTTTTCATCAAGCCATTCCTTTGTTGATTTGAATGCATGTTTTGGGTTGTTCTCATACTGAGAAGGTGAAATTCATCCTTAGCTTTCTCGCAGTGCCTGAAGGTTTTGCATTCAAATCCACTGGTATTTGGAGTTATTGATGATTCAGAACACTGAGGGTTTGGTGTTCTTTTGGGGATGTGCTGTGTCTTTGTGCCAAATATACCTGTTGGAATTGGAGCCAAAAGTCTTCTTGTCCTTGAATCCATTTTGGAGGAACTTCCTGTTCTCTGTGAATTCCCTGTGGGCCATACTTTATGGTTTATCTAATGGAAATTATTTTGTACCACTCTCCTTATCAATACTTTCCAACAACAAGATCATGATCCCACGTTGGAAACTCTTCATGGACATTAGGATGCAACTCAAGGCAGCTGTACACTGGCTTAGAATAAACTTTATTAAAATGCCAAAATCCCACACACTGTGCTCCATGGATCTAATTTACTTTGGTATGACATCAGGCTTGATGTATGTGGACAGTTGAATCATATTCACAATAAAACATAATCATGCATCATCCATCTGGATACCGATCAGTGGATCATTTTATGCTGCTTTCCTATTAATCTCTATAAATGGCATTTGAACATTTATTTATTTTCAAATTTTGGTTTTCATTTCCAGTTTGACAGATCATGTTTGAGCAGGTTTGAGTTGCCAGCAGGTAAACAGTCCGTGTGGGGAGTAAAAGAGGTGGGACAGAAATGCATCAGCTATTTTTTTTCATTGATCTGTTATTTCATGCCTAAATAGGTGCTGTGGAATAAATCTATTGTAAGTTTATTTTCCCAAATGATTTTAGAGTTTATCGGTCACTCTCAAGGTGAACGAGTTATGACTTGTAATCTATAATGATTTCATTTTTAAACGTTTTATTTATCTTGGATTCATTTTTTTAAATCACAAAATCCATCATTTTAACACACGGGTTTGAAGAGTTTTTATAACCACTGCAGCAAATGCACAAAGGATATTTTACAGGACTGAAAATGTTGCATCAGTCAGAAGAGAAAAAAGAAGGAATCTATTGTCTATCTATCTCTGAGTTTGTCAAACCTGAAAGCACCAGAATACTAAATTCATAATAAAAAATTATTAAAATATACAAATTGAACTTTTTGCTTCTGCCTCCCTTCTCTCTTAGTTACCAAAACTTAGAAACGTTGTATTTTCTGTAGTACCTTTGCACTCCCCTGTCACGGTGTCCCTGTAGGTGTGGGAGGAGCAGGCTGCCAGACATGCCCCGTTGTGCAGGGTGGCCTCAGAGTCAGTGCAGGCATCACAGTCGTCGGCGTTCGGCCCGTCGCACAGAGCGCAGTCAGGGTTGCAACCCAAACACTCCCGTCGCTCTTTGTCCTCAAAGAACTTCTCGGGACAGTCTGGCACACAGCGTCCCTCGTGGAGAAAGTGATACTCCTCACAGCCTGCACAGAGAACGATACCAGCTGCATGGAAGAAGAGCTAAGTGCAACTCAATGAAACTCTACTAAGGATCCTAAAGTCTTTGGAGAGGTATGTAAGAGAAATAAAAATGACCTCTCTGTGAGAACTGGATTTCACTTTGACAAAAAAAAGACTGGACATGAATAAAATATAGATTTAGGACAAAGGTGATTCTCCTCACCATACACAGCATTATGACAGGATTCAATTGGAATGAAAAGAGTCTACACTGGATTCGCCATCAGAGAATAGCCGATGGGCTCGGAGATTGGCAATAAATTACCAAGCTCTGAGCGGCGACCAACCTGCAGATAATAACCATGCAATCTGAAGAGGGCTATAGAGAGGTTTAAAACTGAAGGAGCTCCAACAGCTGGGCTCGGCTTTGCATTGTGTCTCACCACCTGTGCACTGCCCGAGTGGGCTGCACTCCTGACAGGCCGAGGGGCAGCGTTGGCACTCCCTGTCCTGGACAAAGTGCGCTGAAGGACAGTCCTCCACACACTGGTGCTCGTGCAGGATGAGAGGTTCGTCACAGCTGAGACAGTGAGTGGCGTTCCTCCCACAGGACGCACAGCCCGCCGCGCAGCTACGACACACCTGGCCTGCAGGATAACCCCTGTTGAAAACCGAGGGGGATCAGAAGACACACCTGCATTACTATAGACCATTGTAACTAAGTATATGATGCATTAAGCCTCATACTTTTTTTCTTTATTTTTATTGTAACACAAGTTAACCTGCACTGCTTATTTTACAATGTTAAAAAAATGGAACAGTCGAGCATAACTGTTTGCTGCTGAAGAGGTAAACAAGAGGACTGACATTTTGCGCTGCTCTCTGCTCCACTCCATGACAACTAATCATTCAACCACACAACAATGGTGCCGTACTCCAGCTGTGCTAAAGAGCTGCTTGGTAGTTTCTGGTAAAAAATAAAATTTAAATAAAAAAAAAAAGCTCCCATGGCCAAAAAGTTTATCTCTGTGCTAATGGAGCTTCAAGGACCTCTTCAGCAAGGACGAGATATTTTTCTCAGTCTCAAGGATTTAACATTTTAATGAATATCAAAATGGAAACGTCAAAATCCAAGGCCGGCAAATACATCTTGTGACATTCACCCTCACTGGAGGACGTGTCAAACATCTGGCCTGATGTCAAAAAACGTGATTTCAACCTGCAGAGATAAAGTCCCACTGACAAGGTCTCCGTATATAAAAGTATGTAAATATGATCTAAAACAATCAGTGAAAGGCTTGACTCCTGACCTGACACACTGCTGGACACACTGTCCGTCCTGCAGGAATAACGGAGCCTTGCGAGTGCTCTGACAGCGGGTGCAGCGATGAGTGTCCACACATTGCAAACAGCCCGGAGGGCAGGCCGCGCACACACCGCTCAGCCGACTGGCAAAGAAACCCCCCGGACACTTCGACACACATGTTTGCTGTGTGGTCAAAAAATGCCCTGGAGGAGGAAGAGGAAAGAGTAAACATCATCACAGCGGGATAACTTGTGGTGTAACCATGAAAACATGAAACTGCTGCTGCACATGTGAAAGCACAACCTGACAGACCTTTGGCACATTTTGTACACCGGTTTATCTCCTCTCCGGAGCAGGACTCGCAGGATGGGTGGCAGTCGTCACACTCGCCCTCATCTGAGGGGAAAACAACACAGTGAATGTTCAATCATCTCCGAGGTGAAGGGCAGCGGAGAACAACCTAGGCTACTTAGTTTTTCTTCAGCTGATTCCCTCTCCCTCCAGTCCTGATTGGCTGCTACTCCGTGCACTGACATAAGTGGTATTGATCTTCTCATCAAATTCTGGACAAGAAAGCATTTTCCACAATTTCTTCCAACCCCAGCGTTTAGAAAAAGAAACAACATCTAACATTAGTAATTACGCTCTTCACAATCAAACCTGGAGTGCAAATCTCAAACAATCCTACATGTCTGTTTAGGTTTTAAATGGAAAAATAAAGGGCAAGAGAAAGTCGTTTGTATTGATATTAACTCCAGTAAATACAAAGATGTCCACACGTTAAACGTCAGAATGTTTTTTCAAAAAATAATCCTGCGTGCGAGGGAAAAGTGATAAAACTAGACTGTGCAGTTGTATGACTCTGAGCCCACTGCAGTTTCAGTCAATGTAGTTGTTTTCAAACTCGTAATAATGTCACCGTGACCTTTGACCAATGAAATTGAATTAGTTCATCTTTGAGTCCAAGTGACAATTGGTCCAAAAACATATTTTATGATGCTGCCATGACTTTGAACCTTTGACCACCTGAATCTTATCAGCTGATCTGTGAACATTTTTGCCGAAGATAACACGATGATAAGGCAAAAAAGGGTTTTGTGTCACTGCAACCTTGACCTTTGAGTTTTGACCACCAAAATCCTCTCAGTTCATCTTTGAATCCAGTTTGTATTGAATTTGAAGAAATTCCCTCAAGGTGTTTCTGAGATGTTGTGCTCACAAGACCAATATAAGGACATACTGACGACCTGTAGACATGACGCCTCTGGCCACAGGCGTGGAGGCATGAAACAAGTCCAGGATCCCCTTCACCAAGTTTGGTGCAGATAAGTTACAGACAACTTAACTTCTTCCTCCAACGTTCTGTTACTCCAGATTATGTACAAAGGTCTGAGGCTTTAATCTAAGGTTTTGTGTTTGCTGAGGTTCGAAGTTTAAGAATAACTTAATTCTGCATGTTCATTTCCAACCTTCGAGTTAACCTATGTACTTTCCCTAAAAGTTATTTTAGTTCCTATAATTAAGATGTCTTGCCTCCCACTAATCACCATATGTTGTTTTAAGGTCTGTCCAACTTATTCTTGTGGGGGAACTAAATGTTCAGCATACAGTCAATTATTTCAAAGTCCGTATCTGGCCGTCGTTCAGTACATCTGTCTGTTTTGACGACTTAAGTTGGTACAGGGTTCAGGGACGGTGGCACACAGACCAATTACCCTCCAAGATTTATTTTCTGGCCCTGTGAAAGTGCCCAAGTCCCTGATTCATTATGGGCAGACGTTTGATGAGTGGAATATGTAAGTGTTAGTCTCACCGGTGAGGAAGGTCTTAACGGGACAGACCTTGTGGTCAAACACACATGCTCCGTTTTCTAGCGTCTCCCCCTCCTCGCATGACAGACAGTCGCTGTCCTCCGGGCCGCTGCACGTCACACAGTCTGAGTGACACTCCTCACAGTCGTTGGTGTCTTCGTCACCATAGAAACCATCGGGACACACTGAAACACACCTCCCCTCTGGGAATGGAAAGGAGACGTTTCTGAGATTAACTCTGTGTGTAACCCACTTAGCTGAGCATGTCCACAATTTTAGCTGCTTGTACTTCACTTATTAGAAGAGCACCACGGATTTTACACTTCAGAGTCTATTTATAGGTCTTCATGTATATGTTAGAATTATATCTTTTTAAAAAATCCTGATTAATCTGGAGTTTGTAGTTTTGAAAAAAATATGAGTGAGTAGAGATATTGTACGTTCATGTGGTGTCGGAATTATCGGAAAATTTGTTTCAGACAAGGAAAAGTCTCATGAATGTCACCTCAAGTCGGTAAAAATGTTGGTACGCAAGTTGCAGACAGCACCACTGATAAATCAACTGACATTATTTTACATCAGCACTAAATAGTACAGCTATTATACTAGTAATACTGCATGTCCACCTTTCACAAGTGCCGAACTCTTTAGCCAATACAGATCTTTTCATGATTAACATGCAAATGTTTTAAATGATTGTACATTGCAGTATTGATACTTAGATTGAACTTAAACTCAGTGCAAGACTTTAATTTGTAATGGAGTCAATTCCTGTCATTATATTTTACTTTTACCTAAGTGAAGAATGTATTTTCACCGCTGTAATATAATACTTCAGGACTCCATGTCCTGACCCAGTGGGGCGGTGTTACCTGATAAGAAGAGGTCCGTCTCACACCAGTAGCACTCATGCTCATCACAGCTCACACAGCTGTCATCACACGGGACGCAGGTCATCTCCTGGTCCACGCTGTATGTCTTAGCTGGGCAGTTTTTGTAGCAGCCATCCTGGAAACTGATAACAAAGAGAGCAGCTGATACCTGTGATTGTAACTCTCTCTCTCTCTATCACTCTCTCACACACACACACACACACACACACACACACACACACACACACACACACACACGCACACACACACACACACACACAAATCCACTCTACTTCCACAGCAAAAAAAGGGTCTTTTCATTCTGCAGTGAACTGGGAGGCAGAGCGAGTGCATAGAAGCGAGATCACACATGGCGACAGCGAGGCACACAGCCTTACTTGTAAAAGCCCTCAGTGCAGGACAGACAATGCCTGGGGTTATCTGTTGAAAGCAGACAAAGAAACTCAGCTCTACTTTTTAAAAAAGGGCACCACCAGGAAAAACCCTTGAACATGGTTGGCAACACGCTGGGAGGAGAGTTCGGTCAGTGGGCAGCGTTCATTTAGGGACAAAATGAATGTACTGTGGCTGCAGCCCTGACTTACACAGGACACACTTGCTGCAGCCCTCCTCACACGCCATGCAGTCGTCATAATCCGGATCTTCTACCTCCCCTGAGGAAAAAAGGGACACATTCACAAAGAGAGAAACAATGTGAGCGAGAGTGGAAGGTGTAAAGGTGTGAGACGAGTGTTTGTCAAGGTCGTCTCTGATGCTGCGGCTCTGAAATATGAGAGAACTCACAGAGTAAACAATGCTGTGACCTTGTTTACCTTCTCCACACTCCAGCTTCACACACGCTCCATCAGAGACGTAGTAGGAGGAGTTACACCTGAGGCAGTGGCTGGGGCTGGTGCAGAGCCGGCAGTGGTCGGAGCACGGCTCACAGCTCCTCTCCTTGGTGTGGTAGAAGGCCTCTGGACACGCATCCAGACACTGACCTTTATACAGGTAACGCTCCACTCCAAACTTATCTGCAGGAAAAACAGCAAATCGTGGCGTGAAGAAGAGCGATGATGATATGTGGTTGAACTTCAGCTTGTGCAACTTCCTGCTCATGATTAGCTTTGGTTTGCCTACAGCTATATTTATTTTTATCTCGGCCCAGGAGGTTATGTTTTCGCCTGTGTTTGTTTGTCTGTTAGTTAACAGAACTACGCAAAAAAACGACTGGATGGATTTCCACGATACTTAGTGGAAGGATGCGGAATAGGCCAGGAAAGAACTTGTGTCATATGTTTGCTCTACTGAGTGCACTTCAGTTTGACAACTGAATCACTGATCTCCTCTTTTATATTCAGTTAATTGCAACAAAAGCTTCAACTTATCATTGAGCTAAATGAATATGATAAATCGTCCTTGGGAAAAATAATTATTGTCAGTCGTTTAAACGTTAGATGCTCAAATCAACATTTCTGTATTAATATGCATGAAATGACTCTGTATCATGTGAAAGAGGTCACTCATAGATGAAAATACCACATGACTCTACAGTTCCTCTTTGGCTCATTTTATCATCTTTCAGATCAATATTTAAGGTTTTATAGCCGTCAACTTAACTGTTTCACTCTTGTCTCATGAGCATCGTTTTCAGATGCAGCAACATCCGACAGGCACAGTTCTTGACTAAAGCTGTTTTCAGACATGGCCTGCGGGTAAAATCCGTAGAATTGGCTGCGGAGTTTACCCAGAGTTTGCCTTTCGCACATGCACAACACAGCGGGAGGTTCTCAGCACAGACGGGTTCATAACAGCAACATATCGAGAGGTGCAGCAGGCAGAGGCAGGAAGTTACGTATTAACTACGCTGCAGAGATCACGTGATTTTCTGGACGACACACACACACTGTGGTCAGCTCTTATCACCACAAACTCTAGACATCTACGTTGGTGTCTTCTACTTGTATGCCAGCGCTTTTCCACCAGGAGTTGTTTTCTTTTCGTATTTTTAATTTTTGCCTCTATTGCATGTTAGAAGCATCATCACATAGACACCTCTTGGACAACAGTCTCTGTTGTAGGAGGATATTCATATACAAAAGCACAATGAAATCACTTTCATATTGCCTCTAGCCAAAAGGAAAAAAACAAAACAATTGTAGACAGGAGGGAAACCTCCTACACAGGCGTGCACTCTGAAATAATGAGGGTCACTCCTAAAAACTGTCAGGGAAAGCTAAAGGGGGTTTCCTATCAGTGAATACTCTCTGGAGACCCTCTCACGACCTTCCCAAGCTCCGAGGAATCTTTTAAGAATGGTGAGGTCATTTTAACAGAGAATTGATTGGTCAGTGGGCGTGATTTGTTATCTCAACCATAACCTGCTTCAGAGAAGGTTAGATGTGCAAGTTACCATGGTGATGTGCCCCAGAAACACCTAAAAACCCAGCAACCTCATTGCAGACCCCAGAGCTGTGAGGGAGAATATACACATATACAGTATATTTACTCATCTGTGGTGCGCTGCTGTGTGTGTGTAATATTTTAGCAGGATCAGCTTGTTTGTACAATAGAACGTTCATGGACTGAGTGATTATGACCCGTTTTACCATTGAAGTGACTTATCTCTATCTCCCACAACAGCAAATAATATACATGATCAGCAATATGCAGAATTACAGGCAGGAGATTATGAGACATAAATCAACTAAAATAAAAAGTTCACTATTTCTTTCAAACCCAAACTGTACAGTGTATTATTTAACCAATCCTGCTTGTACATAACTTCTGTTTTTATTTTTCTCTTCATGTCTCTCTCCCTTTCTCTCTTTCTCTCTTTCTCTCTTTCTCTCACACACACACACACGCACACACGCACACACACACACAGACACACACACCACACATACGGTCTGATTTCCCTCCCTCACCAGTGTCACAGCTGGTGCAGCTGGCAGGCGCTGCATCCGTACAGGTGGCACAGGTGTGGTCACACAGGTGACACCGGCCACCTGACTGGTACTTGCCCTTTGCGCACTCCATCACGCAGACGCCCTCGTCCAGAGCCCTGCAGCCGACAACAACAAAAACATCAAAACCATTTTTTTTTACTCTAATTACAAATACCACAAAAATCAACATATATGAATTATGTCAATGCAAATGTGTTGAGCTCATTAACAACCCAGCATGTGGAGGGGGCACACAGATGTAGATGAGCACTGACACAGGGAGAGGAGAAAGAGGAGTGGGGAGTATTTGAATTTGAAATATAAAATAACCAGCAATCTGTTGATATACTGTATATACAGCAGTGACACTAACCTAACTCTGTATACAGCCATTGACTGTCTTTTATCATAAGTTGTTAGTTATTTAAATTAACTTCTGATGAATTATGTAGAAGCAACAGAACATTATGTCTTATTCATACTCAAGTGGGCGACATTTTCTTTCTCTATTTATAGATAAATAATTAAAGGGAGTGTCACATTTCTTTTAGAGGAAAGTACATTTGTGTTTTGTCAGGGCAGAAACTTATACAGATTTTCATTAGCAGCAATCTGCCTTTAATCCTTCACCCAGTGAATTTGTTCTTTTGGTTTGTATGATTGTAAGCAAGATTATGTAAAAACTCCTGGATGGATTATCATGAAACTTGGTGGAAGGATGTGGTGTCAGAAAAGAACCCATCAAATGTCGGTGTGGATCCAGATCAGGAGGCAGATCAATTTGTTTTCACTGCGTTTAATAGTGTGTGATAGGGCATTTATCAACATTTTCATTGATTTCTCAGGGAATAACATATGGATCTCAGTGGACAAAATTAGGCATGTTTAGAGGACGGATATTTATGAGTGTGTGTAATGTTTTCAGATAAAAAAAATCTGCATCTAGTGAATTTTAAATGTTGTTTCTCAGCTGAGGCTCTACTGAGATCTAGTTTATTATTAGTCTATAAAATGTCCATCACATCTTCTCAGAGCCCAAAGTGACGTCAAGAAATTTTTCTTGTTTCCAAAAATTCAAACCCAAATGTATTAAGTATTTAATTATACATCTCATAGCAAGAAATCATCTCATTCAAGAAGCTTGCCCAAAGAGCATTTGTTATTTTTTTAGTATTTCTGATGGAAAATAAAACTAATAAAATAGAGCAGGGGTGGTTCCAGGGTCAGGACCAGGGGGGCACTTGCCCAAACTGAAATCTGACTGAACCCTGAAGTGCTCCTGTTTTTTAAATACACAATGTGCTTGAATAAGGAACAGTTTTCTAAAAATATTCAATGATTTATGGTTTTGCTCCAACCTCAAGAGGGAATGACTGAAATTTGTGCACCTTAATCAATCAGGGACTGTGTATGGATGTTGGGAAAAGTAATTGGCCTCTCTTTGTAAATGATTTAGAAAAATCTTAGATTGTGTTTCAGAGCCCAATAACATGAACAGTTCAATTATTTACACAAAATCTCATTCGGAAATCTTTTTACTGCTGTCTTTGAATTTTACAGTACCAATTCATCTTTGAATATAAATGTTTTTTACTCTGCATCTTGGTGAAACTATTTTTTTTTACTCAGAGACTCAGCGGGATATGATTATTTCCCCTCTGACCCCGGATCTAAATAAGTCGAGTCCAGCTCACCGTGAAGAGACACAGCTGATGCAATCCTCGCTGCGCGGCCCTGTGCACTTCAGACACGTTGCATCGCACGTGTGGCACTTCCCGTCACTGTCCTGGTACTCTCCTGACAAACACACAGCAAGAGAACTCTGTGCTGACTCAGGAATGAATAACGTATCTGAGGCACTGGAGTGGGCTTAATGTCAGATGCCAAAGAATGGAAGCCGTGTACAGCGCACAGCTTCATGTTTGTTTTTGAGAATAAACGCAGCTGACTTATGGTTGACTCACTTTACGTATGACATCACAAACACATACATACATATATATATACTGTATAGAGAGAGAGATATATAGATCTGAAATGTCACTTATAAAAAAAGCCTTTATCTTCGTAGATGACAGAAATTCAGTAAATGGGAAAAATTGTGTTTTACAGTTGGAGAAGTTGGAGAAGTAAGAAGGGCTGCACTATATTTATCTGAGACGAGGATGATGATGATGATGATGATGATGGTTGACTGACCGTCTGTGCACACAGTGTCTACAACACACACTCCCTCCTGCAGCCTGTGACCGCTGGAGCAACCGCTGCAGTTCCCCCGGCTCGGCCCCACACAGGTGAGACAGCTGGCGTCACACCTGAGGAGTGGAGCACAGAGACTGAACACGCAACCACACAAAGTGACCACAAAAAATACACTCACACTGACGCATTACAACAAAGGTAAGGTTGAAAACAAGCACACACACACACACAGAAGCCAACCAGCAGAATAAGGCCTGCCATCAGCAGATAAACAAACCACCCACAACTGAACACACACCAGTGAACTCACCTCCTACATATCCTGTGCCCATCAGCTATCTCTGGGCTTGGCTCTGTGGCGTAGAAGCTCGCACTGCAGGAGGACACACACCTCCACTCCTCCAGCAAGTAGCCCTCTGCACAACGATTGCATGCTTCAACACCTGCACCTGACACCGCAAGAGCCGGAAAACAAAGGTGATTATAGATAATAGCACTTTATTACTCCCGAAGGAAAATCTTCTGGCGGCTTGCTCCAAGAATACAGCACAGAGCAAAGTAGAACAGAATACAGAAAAAGGTGGAGATAAAAATAAAAGAGCAAGTGTACTGTAACTGAAATAGATAAAGTGTATACAGAGCTATGCAGAACCAGTGCTTGATATCATTAGAAATGAGAAAATGACACTGACTAAAAGGGCAGTAAGTACAAATTAAATGATAAAGTAGTGAGTAATGTGGGATAATGCACATTATATTAAAATATTTTGAAATATAATATTGCACAAGATATTGGATTTACTGCACCATGCACTATTGTTTATGTTGTATTTTCATCATTGCTAAGTGTATTAAGAGGTTTTCACACAGTTTACGAGCCTCCAGCTCTGCTCTCACCTGCACAGGTAGCACAGGCCTTGTGACAGGGCTCGCACGTGCCTCCCTGCCTGTCGTGGTAAAATCCGGGCTCGCAGCTCCGCTGGCACCGATTCCCTTGCAGACTGGAGAGGGCGGGGAGAGCATGTGGCACCAGACACACACACCAGACACACACACACACAGCCAATCATGTGACACCATACTGATGACTCATTGCCTTTCGACTGCGGGCTTAGTTTTCCAACCCACAGCACACCACCACAAGCACTTGGTGGACTGAGTCACCGAGCACTGTAACTTCTAACTCAACAATATGGTGAATTTGTCTGAGATGTTTTGTTCTTTCCTGTGATGATGTTGCAAAAATGGAAATCCAGATTGTTTTTCTGAGCTGTGTATAAACAGGGAAGGATGACACACTGATTTGAATACAGCGCTGTAACCTTCTCTAATTGTTATGATGCTGCAGAGGGAGTGTGTACACAGAGAGTCGGCGCTGTCTGTCAGCGGCTGCAAAAAGGAGCAGTGTTTACCGAGCACTTAATTCAAGCATCCCTGAGAGACTCACCTTGTGTCTGGACTGCATTCTGTGCAGATGCTGAAGGAGGTACACTTCACGCAGTTCTCGCCGCACTTCCTGCACATGTTTGCTTCTGTGGGGAAATCAAACAATACACGGGACGAACGCATCAGAGCAATGAATCAATCTCACTCACACAGCCATCAACTGTGCTTACAACAACTGACTGATCATTAGCAGGCATGTACAGCTGTATCCAAAAAGCTCTTTGGTGAGCCATGAATCCTTAAAGGTTCACTCAAGGATATTTCTAGTGTCATGTTAATGACTACAAAAAAAAAAGAATGTGACAGAACACTTCTTTAAAGCCAGAAATCCAACCATGGTCGAGGTAGTAGTTGTCCCCACAGACGGCTGTGCAGGTGCTGGTCCCCTCAGTCAGGTGGTGACCAGGCTGACAGGTAGTGCACTGGTCGCTGCGGCTCCCGGTGCAGCTCTCGCAGGAGTAGTAGCACCTCTTGCAACGCCGGCGGTCGCCCCAGAATCCCTTGGGACACTCCGACAAACACATCCTGTTGGACAGACACAGACCAAAGCAAACAGATGACAGGAGCTATGACTAAATAAGAGTGGAGGAAACTATATTTTCACTCTTGTAATTATGAATCAGGCTCATTCAAACATTTTATTCTTACAATTTTACATGTGGACTAAACAACATATTTTATTTAAGGTATACTGATCCATTTGCTTTGCAGCAACATCCTGATGACACAGTACACTGCTGTCTGGATCGACTCACAGCGAACATGCTAACCTTGTGCCGTTCTTGAACTTGAGAAAGAAGTGTAAGCACGTGACGCACTGCTGCGGGCTCGGCCCCTCGCAGCCATCGTCACTACATTCTGGGTCGCAGGGTCCTGTCAGGGCAAATGCTCACAAAGTCACGGCAGCGTCATAACAACAGCAGAGGAGTTATTCAAACCACTGACACAGTTTCAGATCTACATAATAAAACATAACTGAAGAATTTAGAAAATAATGTTAATCTGTGTTGATCTGCTGATAAAGGATTATAAAATGTGATCTGATCCTCACAAGTGTAAATAATAGACCTTAAATAAAGGTAGACATCATGATGGCTACCAAAAAGTAAAGCCAAATCATATCAATCGCCCCCTGGTGGCTGGCTCATAAACCCCACCTCCTCTGTTGATGGATGGGACATGGGCCAAAAAAATAAAAATAAAAGCACCTAATCAAATACATTTTTCTCAATGATGGTTTCTGTCATCTTAGGTTTTTCTTATCGCACTGATGTTTGTTCAAGAAAAATGCAATTTGGTCCACGTCCAATAACATGGAGGAGGCAGTGTTTATGACCTATTCTAGAGCCAGCCACCAGGTGGCGATGGAGATGTTTGGCTCAATGTCGTCCATCTTTATATAGTCTATGTTGTTGAAAAACACAAAAACATGTATAACCTTTCATGTCTCTCCACGCTCATTAAACTTTCACTGGTGGAAAAAATAAGTCAACCCTTGAGTTTAATCACCAGTCAAACCTCCTCTGGCAGCAACGACTTCAAACAAGAAACTTCAGGAAGCTGAAGCTCAGACCTGCACATTTAGTTCAGGGGTCTCAGGAGCTCAGTCATATTGTGGAGATTTCTGGTGTGAACGACTCTCTGGAGCTCATTCCACAGCGTCTCCGCCGGGTTCACTTCTGGGCTCCGAGTCCAACAGGAGGACTTTCTGTGTCTGAAGTCATTCTGTAGCAGATTTACTTTGAAGTGCAGTGTTGAGTGAGTGTCAAGGTGCTCTTTGACAAACTTCAGACGAACAGTGGAGTTTGTTTGAGCAGCAGCAGCTTCCTCTGAGGTGTCGTGCTATGACCAACTTGCTCTTTGCAACCACGCATCATGACAGTATGTGCGTGACCTATGATGGAGTCGTGAACAGAGATGCTCACCAGCTCCCTTAAGCCCTTAGCTTTAACTCTGGTTAGTTGGTTTTTTTTGCCTCATTGAGCATTCTGCATTTTGCCTTTAGAGCTAACTTTAAATTTGTGCGACTGTGGACTGATGAATATCTAAACTCTGTTACCCTTTAGCTTTATGCAAATCACCAATTCTTGATCAGAAGTCTTCTGAGATCTCTTTTTAGCCGTGGTTCACATCAGCTGAGGCTTCGTGAGAATAACAAACTAGAAACGTTGGAATGTTTTTAAGTCAAAGTAGCTGTAACCCAAACCTCCAGTCGGCTTTCTTTGATTGGACTCCAGGTTTGACTCCAGTTAGCTCCTGTTGATGTCATTAGCCTCGGGACTCACATGTTTTTACCAACCTACACAGTGAATATTTGTATTTTTCTTATTCACATCGAACACAGCATTCAGTGATTTGTGTGTAATTCATTTGATTTGTTTAGTTTTACAACTTA